GTTAAGTAGTTTTCAGAACCAGACTAAAGACAGTCTGGTTGTATACAGGCAGGAAAAATAGTGAGACACTTAATGTGTTTAAGATATGACTGTAGAGGTGGCAACAGAGGGAGGTCTACCTCAGTGTTACAGCCATTTTACCAAAAAATAGAAAATCTTTTAACCAATGAGGATGTGACTTCTGGGGGTGGGGGGAAGAACATGATAATTTATAGAAAAAAAATATTTTATATACAATATTCAGTGCTGGAGTGTTCAAAAGCCTAAAATACATAGCTCAAAATATTTACATGAGACTGTCTTCAACTGACTTGGCACTGACTTCTAATTTGGGTATAATTTTCACAATTGTGAAACATACTGGTTAAAGGAAATATTAGGAGAGAGGTATTATTATAGATTCACTAAAAAAGGTACTTCTAAATATTAACATTAAAAAAAAGAAAGAACATGAAAAAGCTATAAGCTTGCAATATTCCTTTGTGCAATTAATGGACCATTCGAGATTTTATTCCCTAATGCCTATAATTTGCATATTAATAATATGCAAAACATGTATATAAACATTAATTAGGATTTGTTGATAAAGAGACTTCAATTTATTATGTACTCTACATTATAAAGTAGTCTTGACTTGTCACTTTCTAAGACAGAAATTTTCTGCAAACTGATAAAATTTGTGCCAAATTTGTATGGTAAGGTAGTAATTCAATATATAGGTGTCATTCTTACCCCTTGAATTAATTTGAATGATAATTTCTAGCTATCCAAATAAAATACTAGCTTTTCTTCTAATAGAAATATGGCTTTAATACTGCTTTTGACTAGCTGATCAATAGAATTTTATGACACTGCACATGCATTTAATAATCCAGGAGTTATTTTTTTAGAGAGGAACCCTCTGTAAGGAAAAAAACAGTAATGACAAGTTAAGAAATCTTAATCTGCACATTCTTGTCAGTTCATAGGCAAAAATAATGCTAGCTTTGAAATCCTGATAGCAAATTATACAAAAAAATCATGAAAACAAATACATCAGAAAGTACTTGGGAATGTGGATGGCTGATTTTGTTGGTCTTGTTAGCACATAATCTAAGTGGTTTTATAAACAGATTCTATTTGCCTACATGGAAATATTTTTTTTATATTCCTTGCCCAGAGGAAAAAATACTGTTACTCCAAAAGCATGATCCTAGTTTTTATTCTATTATATTTTGCTTCCTTTTTGTAGAATATTGACTATGCCTCTAGAGAGCTGAGATCAAAAAACCTCAAGCACACAGGAGAATTCTGGTAGCATAATAACTAACCGCACAACAGCTGAACCACTGTAAGAATTGGTTAGCAAGTACTGTTAACACATCACAGCAAACAAGGTCAATAAACTTAAACTACATGAAAAAGGCAACATTTTTCAACAGGAACATGAGTAGACCACAGAAGTGCTCTGTTAGATTTACCCAGCTGTCAGGTGCTTTCAGAATAAACCATTAAAATCTGATCATATTTCACATCTAAAACCAATAAATGGCTGATAGCTCTATGGCAAATAAAGTAGGAAATGTTAAAAGAACTAATATATAGCCCTGCTACAAGACACTGAAGTGGTGTAACCAGTCTATGCCCTCACACATGTGCCAGGTCATTTGCTAATTCTTCAGTAAATTTCTACCCACAAGAGTGAAGGAAACAGAACTAAATATGAGCATATATTTTTGTGCAGAAGTCAGCCATCCCTCCCTTAAACAATGAAGGATAGAGGGTTTTGCTTTTCTGGCTGATTTTCCACTGAAGCTTATTAAATAATGGTTGTACTTTCTACCTTGCTGACTGAACTGAGGCGCTAAATCTCCTAGTGACTGCTGGTGATAGGCAGTCAGAACATGTAACGTGTAACATTGTGAACTGCTCCACACAGAGTCATTAAGGAACATCTGCCTATGCTGCTGCTTCTGGAAGAGGAACACACTTGCTTCCCTTTGACATTCCTTTCCCCTAAAGGGAAAAAAGGGTTTGTAAGTGCATTTTACCAGCAATTAACTTTTCCCTGCCTCAGCACTCTTCTCCTCTGTTACAATTTACAGTATCCAAAATACATACACAAAATTCTTGTCAGACTACTTGACCAGTAATACAGCAATTTAACATGTGCTTCTTAAAACAAGGCTCCCAGATCTGCAATATGGTCAGATGAACCCCGAGGGAAAAAAAGTATTCAAGAATAACTGTCTTCTCTCATTAAAAAATACCCCTCCCTTGGTGTCCAGGAATTTGTTTCTAAGAAGGAAACAGAACTAGTTTGTGGCTTAGGTAGCTCTCTGATCACCAGATACTGCCACCTTCCTAGATATTCATATTAGGCTTGGTTTCAGAACTGCAATCCAGAACAGCAGGTTTGGTTTGAGCCCCACTGGCAGAGGTTTGAAAAGAAGCCTGAATAGCATGGATAACTGCAGCGTATCTAGTTCCTGTCAGCCCTGGCCAAACTGCCTCTGTTAATGAAAGCTGATCCACTTTCCTCAACACTCTTCTTCAAGAGTTCATTTGAATATCTCATCCTATTTCAAGTAAAAAGATCTATGCTGAGAAACCGTAAGCACATGAAAATCCCATAATAGCCAGCAGATGTTACAAATCCGTAGCTTGCGGCAGCAGGGAGTGACATCCCAAGTATCTTCTAAAAGTCACCATGCATCTTACACTCCACATTATTGCTGAACAGATACAAAAATACAAAGAAATGGGAAGCATGAAACAGCATGCCAAGGGTCCAATGTCTGATGGAGAAGTTTGAATGTCATTCTGGTATTACCAATAACTACTACAAAGTCATGCATTCAGCTACAATCAAATAGAATTCAAATACATCCATTTCAAGAGAAATACAAAAAGCTACAAAAAAATAGTAGTCTGTGGCCCAAAGCAAACAAGACATTGCTAAAGGTTTGTATTTTTTGCAGTTACTGCCAAAAATGTGCAGAACAGAAAAAATGTATGACCGAAGGAATGGAAACTTCCTATATTCTACCTCTTCACAAACAGAAATAGCAGGACAGTAGAATGGGAGGAGCTCTCAGAGTCTCTGTCCAAATTACCTTTTGGGATTCCCTGGATCCCTGTATTCCCCTAAACAGCACCTTAAGGCATGATCAGCACTAAATGCAAGGATAGAAACTCATCACCTCCCCCAGTTCACTTCCTGTTGATATCTTTACACACTTTGCCTTTGAGAGTAGGAGGAGGCCGCGAGTGACTATGTAATAAAGAGAATGGAAATCATGATCTATATCTAATACCTTATTTGCATATTTTGTATTCATCTCACCTGGCACAACACTGAGTGGATGAATAATGATATCATTATCTCCTCATCAGTGAAAATCTAAAGTCACTGAGACAGAAGTTGCAGCTGTGCAACAACACAGTAGTATTACATACTGGGTTAGAAACAAAAAGAAAAGTACTATGGGCCATTTAAATTTAGGAGGGATTTCATTATAATCATTCTGACTGTAATATAACCCAGAAAACAGTGTTTTAAAAGGGAGCTCTTGAAATTCCTAGGGCAAAAATTATAACAAATTTCCCGTATAGCCATTTTTCAGCTGATCTGGTATCAGATTTTGCTTCTTATGTGCTTGCTGTTGATACTGCATTAGTCTACACAGAATTCAGAAGGGAAAGCATGTGATTTAAATTCCAGTTGTGCCATGAATTTTCTGTAAGTGTAGTGTTATTGCAGAGAAAATTGCTCTTTAAAAGCCCTGTTCCAAAACAGAATCATTTGCTTTTCAGAAGCAGTTTTTTGAGCTTCAGGTATAAATAATCTTTATTTCAGATAACTGAAAAGCATCTAGAGGGAAAATTCTATCAAAACTAAAGAAGTCCCCCCACATGTACCTTAACAGCAGAAATTAGCAAAAGACATCTGAAAAAATGACTGCAATAAAATTATGCAATGTATGGGCAAAAAGTAAGGATCTTATTGTGCACAAACACTATAAAACAAACATACAAAGAACCTGTAAAGTAAGTATTGGTATAATACAGGAATAATATAGGAAGTATATGAAATTAGAGGTAGCTCTTGTTTATGTATTGATGCACAGGATGTACATTATCATGTACAGTTATCATGAGATGAGAATGATAGCACTGTAACTAGTAAGCCCTTCTAACCTGAACATTTAAATGACTTCTTATTTTTTGACCTGTAATTTTACTCAATATATTTTCATTGCTAATAAGTATCTATCAATTGCATCAAGGTTACAGAGCATGTAAAAGCTGTATTAGTAAACAAGGGTAGTAAACAGGTTTTTCTCACTGACAAAGACGCAGCATAAGAACAGGTTAATAGGTAACTGCCATTTCCTACATATTTTCTCTTATTTCTTAATGTCGTGTGGAAAATATTGAGTGGTTCAGTATTGACTAAAAGTTTTAAGTACAATACGTAATTTAGTCCTGTCTCTTCTCCACCTCCTCTTATAAACGTCATTTAAAGTAGCTCTGCTTATGCACATCAGGAACAATTAGCTGCGAGTCAGAGTACTATTGTACTGTAATGCCACGCGTTGGCTGCAGTTTTGCAACAATATTACTTGAGAACCTCTAAAACGCAAATTACTTGCAGTCTTCCTTAATTCCAGAAGAGAAGCTGATGCTGTCAATCCCTCTCAACAGCTCCCAGTCGAACGCCACGTCTTCGCGGAGCTGAAGCTCTTCTCATTATGGTCGCACGGTAATTAGAGCGGTTCAGTGCGAGGCGTCCATCGTCGGCCACAAAGGCAACCCCTAAGGATGGGCTGCAGCCGCCGCGGGGGAACTGCGTGGATGGAAGTTTGTGCACACAAACGATGTTCTCGGCAACAGCCTAAAAGGAGAGGGCCCGTTTCTCTTCCCTCCTCTCAGACAGGGGCATCAGAGGAGACAATTCCCTGACACCCCCGGCCAGGGCAGCCTCACCTCCCTGGAAGGACTGCAACAGCGAGACTTACCTTAGTGAGCTGGGCAATCTTCTTGCACATTTTCATGTGCATCTCCCGACTGCATTCCTCTGCCGAGCTGCTGCGAGCGGCTTTAGATCCATTGCAAGTCCCGGGCTGATGAATGTTGTTTATGCCAGAGGCCATTAGGCTTGAATTTTAATCACGTCTGTCTGCGTACGCTCCGGGTAGCGCGATCCCGGCCCCGCTGCTCGCCCCCGCGGCTGCGCGCACTCACAGCCCCCGGCGCTGGAGGAACTTCAGCCCCGAACAGGGCACGCTCCAGCCGCCGCCGCTCCCCCTTCTCTGCAGATGTCCCAGTCCCTCAGCAAAACATCCAGACGAGCAAGCAGAGAACAGCATGTGCAAACATCCTGATTGGGATTTTTTTTCCCTCCCCTTCTCTTCAAATGGTTGAGCTTCCGCCAGGAGAAGACGCCAGCGGCTGGGTGCTACAAATTCCCCGCTGGGGACGCTGAGCCAGCCAGGAGTCAGTAGCACAGGAACCGCCGGGAATCTGCTGTAGGAGAGATTGCCTGAAGATTAAACCATGCTGCCTTCTAAGTGTCAAAGGGCTGCAGAGGTCATCTGACAAGAGAGTGTTGGCACCTTTCATAAGCTCTGTTATTTTGGCAATCCTCTTTAAATTTACCAAGATGGCCCCAGAAGTGATGAAGAAAACCTTTGCTGAGTTTTTGCTGCTGTGATGAAAGCAGAATGGGAGTCAATGGACCCACAAGCACAGCTAAGCCCAGGAGCTGTGTCCAGGATTCAATTTGCTTGCCTCACCCAAGGAGACTGTCTCTGTTCCCTTCGGTTACACTAAGTGCACTGGAAAGGTGCCTATAGAAAACGGTATCACACGTCTTTTTTATTTATATTTTTTTTTATGTTCACACTGTTTCAAAGAGATCAGGCTTGGACATGTAAAATAAATGAAGAACAGAAAAGGCAGAAAAATACACACATAAAAAAGGCAAGCTATTAAGATAATGGGATTTTTTTAAGAGAATGCTTCAGTAAAGTGTTACACAAGAAGAAAACTGTTGAGGAACACGTTTACACAAGTCTAGAAGAAAAGAAGCAAGAGAAGGCCAAGTAGGATGAAGTAAGAGAGGTAGAAGAGAGGAAAAGAGAGAAAGAACAGATAAGACAAGAGCTGCTCAACACCCCTTTGATGTGTCACTGCAGCCAGCACAAGAGACCTCATGAAACTTCTGAGTGCTCCACCTCAGGCCCCGCTGATTTGCAGCCAGCCAGCCAGAGAGGCCATGAGGCTGCTTCTTCCCTGCTGCCCCTACCTGGAAAGGCATGAAACTTTCCAGTCTGATATCCTGGCAGTTCTTGCCATCCTCCCACTTTGCTAGTGGTGGGTTTAAACAGAGAGCTTCCTGAGGAGTATCAGAATTGAGGAGGAGGATTATCTGGTGTCAGTTAATGGTAGGGCAGAAGGAAAACAAAAAAACCTTGGTGAGGGCAAAGAGAGACAAAGAAATGTTAAGAATAACACTCCTATATGGCAAATATCAGGGCAGAAGGATACCTACAAGGCAGTAGGGAGAAGGAATACTGCAAAGACAAGAAGACCTTGGGACAGGGAAACCAAACCCTTGCTTGTTGGGAGAAAAGGAGAGACTCTAAATCTCCAGAGGCAGAAAGAATCTTCACTCCAGGAATGACAGGAAATGAAGACTGAGAAATGCAATATATAAATAAAAATGATCACCATTGAGAGATACTAAGCAAGGAAATGATGTTTAGCTCAGAAAGAATTTTAATAAGAAAACATGAGACACAAACCTGTGCACAAAGGAATGACAAAGTACAGTTTCCTTATTCACTGGCACTAGTATCCAAGATGCTACTGGAACTATTTCTGTGACTAGGACATAGGGACATGCCACTGCTAATTGTCTGATATCTGCTGGGACATGTTAAACACAAGTTTAACTCAGTTAATATTTTATAATACATTCTCTATATGGTTATCAATTTGAGAAAAAAAGGCTAGGAATTTAATTATATGTAAGATTTTGATTAAATTGACAAGTTTATTAGGACAATCAAGACAAGAGAAGAGCAAGGACTGGAGCAAAGTCCAAACACATTGTTTCCTCAGAAAAAATAGAACAAACTAAGTGAAAACAGAAAATTGCAAAAGCTTTTACAAGTACTTAAAAGAAGTTAGCTCTTTTATCACACAGGTGGACAGTAACATTTATGGTTGTTCTATTAAACACTGGGCCTGGAGGCAGGGGTGGATAGAGACTTGAGACTCCTATATGAGCATGGCAGAGAAGAGAAGCACATATCTTCAGATACACTGGAAAAGGAATAAACTACTGAGATATTTTCAAGCAGGCTGTTTATGAATTTTGAGACATTAGAGGGAAAGAACTTGAGGCTTTGGTACAAGATGATGTTTAAGTAGAATATAATTTGTCACTGGTGGTATGCTCAGTCCAAGCAAGACTTTTCAAGCAATACTTCAAACCCTGGAAAAGTTTAAATTAGATCTCATGCACCAGAAAATGTAACAAAGGAACATAAATTCACAGATGACTCAAATTCATTAGTTTCATTACTCAGAAGAACCCAACTTAGTTTCAGTAACAGAATTTCAGCAGATAATTCCAGAACATTTCAATGAGCATTTAGCGCTTTTTTTTTTTGCCTTTTTTTTTTTTTGTAACTGATCTAGGAATCACCCATAAATTAGATGACAAAAAAATGATGTCACAAAGCATAATCTAAATGTGTACTATACAAATATAGGTTTTGTGAGAATCACATAGAACACAAGTAGATTACAGAATGTGTCTGAATTTGGGGCAGTAGATGGCAAAGACAGTTTAAAATATAACCAGAAAATGCAAACACTTCTTCTTGAATTATTATTGCTGCATTCGTTTTTGGTGAATTGTGAGACAAAGTCATCATGTCACTATAGTTTTTATAAGTCACTGATTAATTGTACACAGGTTTGTAGCTTTGCTGTTCCATTATATTAACTAATTTTCTTTCCATAAGCAAAACAAACATTCATGAGCAAAAGACTATAAGCCTTCCATTTTTGATACCTCCTGCTTGTTGAACACACAGACTATATAACTTCTGCAGTCTCCTGACTAGCTACTAGTTACCATTAAAGGAGCCACAACCTCAAATTCCAAGACATAAAAAATATATTCCTGTTGCAAATGTTTAATACATATGTAAATATTTAATACGTTAATACTTTTGTTTAACATATTGCAACAATATGAAAACATCTTTTCTAAAACACAATAACACAATACAGCCCAATTCTTTCACTCTTTGTCTGAACACTGTGCTCAATGAGTTGTTTTTTTTTAATGAACAACAGCAAAGTTAAACTGATTCCCTGGATTATAATCACTATTTTGCAGTCAAACAAAATCTGCCTTTGACAATGGTAGAACAGCTAGTCATTAACAGTCATGTTATGTCAGAACCGATGGCATGGGGCCCTGGGCAACCTAAGCTTGTGGGCAGCGTCCCTGCCCATGGCACGCCATGGGGTGGCAGTAGGAATTCAATGATCTTCAAGGTCCCTGCCAGCCCAAATTTTCCTGTGGTTCTATGTTTCAAATGAAAAAGCTGTATTACTAAAACTGACTTCAAACTTCTCAAGTTAGAGTGCCAATACAGGAAGATACACCCCTAAGTGAGATTCTAATTAAATTCCTAAATCACTACCCTCATTTTTGATCTCCACTTACACTTACTTTTGTCCTAGAGTAGTTTTTCGGCTCCAGAACAGAGAATCCAGGAACCATATTCTCTTTTTTGGACAAGGGAAGAAAAAAGATAAAGAGGGATAAAAAAGAAGAAAAATAAGAGAAATAGGGGTAAAAGTGATGCTGCTCACCTCATTCACTATTCCATTTCCAATAAAACTTGTTATGGTATTGTGTACAAGTAGAATGACAAATATGAAGTGTTGCCACTGATACATCTTGGGTAATTACCCATGTTATACATAATTACATATAAAAATATTATATATAACTACTTTATATTTTTAATTTCTTCCTACCTCATAAAACAGAGGATTCCAAAAACAGTAGAAGGGCTACTGATTTCCTCATTGACTGAAAACAGTAACTATTCAAAAATTTAGATACAATTTTATAGCTGACTTACATATATACAAGTTTTGAGGAATGTGGTGGATGTAAACTCAGATTCTATTGCATCATGATGGCTTGATTATAGATGAAACATTACTGTTTATGTTTTAAATAAGGATATTGGAAGCAATCAGGCACCAACCAGATATATTATCAGATATAAAAGCCTTTGAACACCTAATAGGACAGCATCAACTTACGTTTTTTGCTAATTCCATTTTTTAATCCAATTACCTACATCAAATATTACCATAAAGTAACTGGCATGCAGTAAGTTTGGCTTACCCTGTGGCACTGTATTTGCTCACGTAAGAGAACCTACAAAGGAAAGAAAAAGGTTCTAGAACAGTGAGTCAGAAGTAGATCATGGCAGATAAGGTCACTACTTCAAAGGACAAGGAAAAAAGCTGGAATTAATAGAGTGCATTATCCTCCAGGGCCTGGAGCACTATCCAAGGTTCAGAGTTTCATCATTCTTTTCTGGATAGAACTGCAAAATCCCACTGGCTACAACCTCTGGGCCTTCATTACATCCTTGCCTTCCTAGTCAGTCATTATATCCATCCCTCAGGAAGCAGCTGGTCCTCACTGAGCTTGGAGAGTTAGCTCAGCAAGGAACTGAAGGGGCAGGGAAGAGCTGGAATGGATTCCCAGGCTCACAGGCAAAGGCTCTGGCTTTAGGCTAGGCAGGGTAGGGCTCAATAAAGTTAATTAGTGCAGTCAAGGCCCTGAAAAGTAAGCTGTAAAAACTATGATAGCAACACATCTATCAGTTGAACAAGGCATCTGGTATCACAGGAACATGGCCAGCATTTGTTATCCTACTTCAACATGTTGTTTACCTACACATGAAGTATCAATTGTACTGAGAATTTTCTATTTCTACCTGTAAACACAAACCCTAGCAGAAATATTTAAAGCAGCCTGGAAGAAATAAATCTCATATCCTAGATTAAATCCATGGTAAGGGACTATAAGGTATTCTTCTGTAGACCTAAGATGCTGGTAGGCACAGCTAGGATACTAAACATGTGAATCAAAAACCATTCAGTTTGCATTATGATTTCACTGAAAATAAAAGTCCTGTGCTTTTAATGCCATAAGATTCACAAAGGTTAGTCTGCTTGTCTTCCTATTTTCATCTTTTTGTCTACAGACACGGATTCTATTGCAGAAAAAAAATCTATATTAAGGTAATTATCCAGTAAAAATACATTAAATAGAACGATTGTTACACATTGTATTTCTCCACAAAATTTAACCTTCAAAAAAAAATGTTCAACTCATTGAGGATTTGCAGTTCATTATAGTGGTTTTGTAGAGTGACTATTTCTCCAGCATAAAATGAAAACTTTTAGAAATATGTTAACATGTAAGATTCTATATTACTATTGTATTTGTGCATATAGAATCAATTTCCTACTCTCTAGAAGCTGAAGGTGATTAGACCTGATCTGTATATTTTAAAAGTTAATAAAAAATATAAAACTCACCTTTAAAATTGAGGTATTTTTTTTTAAACATATACAAATGCTTGGCAGCATAATATGTCAGGGGAGAAAAAGCCCTCTGCCATGTATTAAAATTATTTTAGAATTTATTTTTATCTATAAAAGAAAATACTTTGTCTCCAGCTGCTGCCCTCCATTCTTCACATACAGCTCATATATATCCCATAATCCTTGACACCACTGTAAGGAGAAAATAATTCCAATTATTTGATTGATTAAAATCTGCTTCTTAAATACAACACTAGGAATATTTAGATTTAGAACAAGACTGACCCCTAGTGGGTTTTTTTTTTGGTTGGTTGTTTTTGTGGTATTTTGTTTTGTTTTGTTTTTTTTGGGGGGGTGGGGT